CGCCGATCACAACTCGGCGTTATCCGTCAGAGGATGAAGCCTCTAATCTCTGAGGTGGAAGATTCATTCAAGCATCCAAGTGATGCTCTGCCCGTGTCATCTATTCGATTCTTTGCACATTTATGGCTCTTTTTGAACATGATCAATGCTGCAAATGACTTAACCCAGTCTACATTAATCATTGAAAAGTACATTGAAATCCTCCAAGTAAGTTCTTACCTTGATTCTACCTTGGATTTGAAATGCTTCATTCCATCATATATTGACTATTGCCTCAGAATTCGGGTAACCGAGAGATAATTGCGTTATATACATCATTCCTTGGCCACGCTGCCATCAAGAAATATGCCGACTTCCTTGCCGGCCTTCCTTTGGATACTGCTCGTGCAGAGCTAGAAAGGTCGTTGCGAAGTGCAGCGTCGTACCATCTAGATGTTCGACTAGTGGCAGAAGAAGCTTCTAAATTATCAAGAGACCGTGCTGCAAAGGTACGACAGTGAGACGCATGCGATTCCATTATTTACACCCAACAGTTATTCCCACCAGAGGCAGCTCGTCTACCTTCCTTATCCAAGACAAGCACCGAAGAGAAGTTGACAAACGGAGAATTACACATGATCCGGTCACTTGGCTGGCTACGATACCATCCTTCCACGCAAGACTTGGTATTGCGGCAATCTAACGACGATACTCGATGGCTCCTATGTATGTATTTCCATTCATAGTCTATATTGTTCTTAATTCTCTCAAACAGGTCGAGGTCGGATCCATGCGGCGATCCAACTCAGTGCTGATCTACCTGACACCATGATCTCTTCGGCAAGCGGTGATCACGGACACGAGCTTGAATATCTTCTTTATCGGAAACTGTTTGCCCTATGGGACCAATTTTCTATATTGGAACAGATGACGGCGACCGAACCCAGGGTCGTGTTGGATGCCGATGGGCGGGGTCACTGGAAGCGACGTCTTGAGGTGAGATGGAATTAAAAGCACGTGATTAAGGTTAATTGAACGTGGTTAATAGGATGGGATTGAGAACCTATATGAGAGTGCTGTCGGTGTTATGACTGCTGACTGGGGCGTGGACAGCGTGGGTCAAGTTGAAGGTCAGGAAGTCGATGAAGGAGGTATGTAGAAAGGTTATTTATAATGGGAGAATCACTAACCCTTTTCCAGATGAACAAGCAGAGCAACGAATCACTGAATTAAAAAAGCTACGGAAATTGTTCATACCAGAGATCGCCATACGACTTACGCGTCAATTAATTGAAGCCAGAAGCTATGTTCCCAGGTCTGTATATCTCTACCAAGCGTCTATTCAAGTGCTGATAACGACTCGATACTAGCTCGATTAGCCGAGCCATGGAGCTGGCCAATCTGGTAGCAGATGGAAAAGACAAGCTGCATTTAGATTTCGTGTACCAAGGTCAGAGCCGACTAGCCGAGTATCTCATGATCGTCCGCGAGGCGATTCTAGAAGGTATGGAGGACGGTGGCTCAGATCCACTGGTACCTGTGGTCTAAGTAAGTCCCATGTACCTCTAGAATCGTATAAAAGTATTTCTCTGCCTCATCCAAGCAGCATGGTGTCCACGTACGCTCTGAGGTATTTCGTCGTAGAACATGGCTGTCGAGCAAGCCGCTTCTTTCGGTGCACCCATGAATGGCCGGCTAGCTCGATTTGTTTTCGTTCACAGCAGACCGGAATGAGAATTTGCCATGAATTTTGAATACGAGCCTAATGTTCGGGCAGAATGTCGAGCGACGAGGGGCGGGGTCCGTCCTAATCCGGACGCGTACGTAAGATGTGCCCGCCTCAAACACGATCCAGATGTCGCAGGGATGCTTGAATGAATCTTCCACCTCAGAGATTAGAGGCTTCATCCTCTGACGGATAACGCCGAGTTGTGATCGGCG